TCAATGCCGCTACTTCCTTGAGTCTCCGAGCATGATGAATTTTGATAGTATGAAAGTGGCTCATTTATTATTGCGTACGTGAGAGGAACGAAAAGAAAACAATCTTGAATGCAGCGAAGCACGTTTATGACACGGTTTCTGATCATGTGCCCAAATAATTCCTGGAATTTATAAACCCCAGACAAAATCCTTTTGTTTACCTTTGAGGACAAAGACGCTCCCATTTCGATTCATCACGAATTGTTTTCAATCTTCTTCAATTTTGCCTTTAAATTCTTTTAAATTTTACTCTTGCATGCATTTCGGCTTGTAGTTCCCTGACGATACTAGGGCGTCGGCAAGGAGAGAGGTGAACAGCTAACCTTTCTCGCCGAATCTCAACCACACAGGCTTTCCGGGGGGGGGGGGGGGGGGGGGGGGGTTGCCCCCGTAAAAAAAAGGAGGGGGGGGGGGGGTCCAGGTCGGGGGTCTCACGCGGGGGGATTAATTTTTTTCCCTTGAAGGTGATTTTTATTTTGGGGAGGGGGCGAAAAAAAAATCCAACCTTATTTGACAACAAATCCAATTGTTGTTTCACTCATGGATTTTTCTTTTTTATTCTTATTTGTTTTTTTGATTTTTTTTTATTTTTCGTGTTGCATGTCGTTGGCTGTGAGTCCCCGTCGCGTGACTGGGGCGGGGGAAGGGGGGGGGTGGCACAACACGCTGTCCCGGCGGATCCACACCCCACGGGGGGTGGGGGGGGGGGGGGGGGCAGGGGGTTGCTCCCGTATAAAAACGACGAGGGAGGTTGGTCTCAGTTCAGGTCTTCCAGACGGGAAGTTAATATTTTTACCCTTGAAGGTATCATTAATTTAGGGAAGTGTGCGAAAAGAATATCTAACTCATTTGACTACGAATGCCATTATTCTGGGTTGAAATAGTCTCCTTTTGGGGGTCTCAGCCACGCCCAGATTGGCCTTCTTTAAGAGTCAAATTCTTATTTTCAGACGGGCATACCGGCCTTCATTTTCCCCCCGGACCGGCTTTGCTCTCGTAGGCGATTTCTTCCACGGGGAACCCACTGGAGGGTGGCAATTGTAAATTCGGGTCAGCTTAAGGCAGGACGGGACGGCGAAAATTTTTAACTGTGAAGGTGTCGCGTAAGGTTGTGAAAGCAAAAGAGGAAAAAAAAGCCTTACAATGACAACGCCTTATCGCGGTTTTAATCACTACAGCACTTTGTCACACCCAGACTACTTTTCTTCTTTTAGCAGGGGCTCGAGCCCAATTTCCCACTTTTCACAAGGGAAAAGAATTGTATAGACGAGTTTACGTAGCGCGATGAATAACAACCACTTTACTAGTTATAGTTTACTGCCACTCATGCTCAAAACGTGTGCATGTCTTATTTCTTATAATACTATTCAGAGCTGTCATTAAGGGCCGTAACCCGTAACATCACTTGATGTTACAGCTGATCAAAGTGTAAAGCTAAAGGAGGCACAATAAATTTTTGTGAGACGTTTCGAGTGAATCTTCTTTTGCTACGTCTGCTGAAAAACTTAAATGACAGCCCTGCTATTTATAAATAAATTGCAATGATCGTGAATAATATTAAGCCCTGTAGGAAATATTCTTTAGCTTAGCTGGACTTCTGTTAGACACGATGAACCGCTCTTTACTTCCGCTTCCAAGTAACCTGCGATCAGGAAGTCCTTCGTCCCTTTTGTTTGCAGGTTTATTAGCTACCAAGAAAATAGATGGTCATGATTTCCTCATAGGACAAAAAGTAATTTTTTGAAAACTGGTTAAGCTTTTGACAGACTGTCCGCTACTGTAGAAATTTTGAGTTTGTAGCACGAATTATCAGGAATAGCAGGATAACTGGAAACAATCAGTTTGATTCTGCAAAAATGGTTAGAAGTCCCAGAGTAGTTACCATGTGTTCTGTTCATTATATCCACCGCACACTTCTTGAAAGAGTTTTTCATTTCTTTTCTACTCACTTTGTGGTGGTGAAAAGTAAAAAAACAAAATCGTGAAAGCGCAACGTGAGATCCAAATTTAAAACAACCGCTTTTAACTATTTTCACTGGCAAACCATTCCTGACTATTATTGTCGGCTCGGTTATTTCCGCATTACAACGCCGTGTCGTTTTTCCAATTTCCACCTTTTCGGGGAAAAGGCCTTTGTAAACGAACTCTTGTTTGTGTTCCTGAGTTTTTGGTGAGAGGAGGATGCTTATCAGGCACATCAGGCTAAAACTTCAGCAATTTAACACTTCCCGTTTTAATACTAAATAGAGTAGAGTATTTAGCCATGCAAATACGCGTCACGTTCGTGTTTAATAAGTTATCCAGCAGACACAGAGAATTTAAAACTGACTTCCTGGTGAATGAATATGAGGTAAAACTTTTCTTCGAAAGTGACAGAGCTTCAGGTAATCCGCGAGAATAATTGCAGTGAGGCAGTTAAAAGCGAAACTGTTACTAAATGGTCGAGAAAGCAGCAAAACCGCAGAAATTTTCAAAACGGGTGCGACTTTTTGAATTTTAACATGTTTCGACGGTACATCCGTCATCGAGTCAGTGTGACGGTTATGAAAGTTTACAGCTGATAAAACGTACCTGTTACAATGCCGAACAGTATACGTTACATTGCGTTGGAAACTGTTACTGTAGTTAAGGTCACATTTCTGTCTCCATGAAGGTATACTATTTATCACATAAAGCGTCAGTGTAAGAGAGGTGTGAGGAGTCCACCATTGGAGTGAAATAAAATGAATTGAATATGATGTCTGTTAAATAGTTAATTGAAGTGATTGCGTATTTGTTCATGAAAAGTGATGTTAACGGGAACATTGTTTTCGTTTCGTTTCGTCTTTTTCTTCCCGAAAATCATCGGCATTTTTGAATTTAGGTATCGATTGCATGCATATTGCCACCTAATATCTATGATAAAAAAACCCTCGGTTGGAAGTACATAAAGAGTTCTTAAAATTTGCTGTACTGAAATAAAAGTCTTATAGAGCGTTTTCACTCTCGTGGCCAGCATCTATGCAAATTTATGGGAACAAAAGAAAGCATTTACGTAAGAAAAGAGTTCAACTCCCACAGGATTGGTTTGGAACACCAACATGGCCGCCGTTTTATTGTTTTGGAACACCAATATAGCCGCCGTGACGTTATGTGAAAACGCTCCATACATGTATATACTGCAACAGTATAACATCTTCTATAAAATGCCTACAAAATTTATCTAACCAGGAGTACTCGGCAGAAAACAAGTTGTTTCCTTATTTTCTCTCGATCTGACATTATTAACCACTGTATTAACCATCCACGCAAGCATTTTCCGTTTGTCTCACTATTAGGCCTTTGCACATTCTGCTCGAAAAAAAGGCTATTCTGCTCAAAAGAATTGCCTCCAAAAAAGGCTATTCTGCTCGAGATTATGCTCCAAAAGTACTATTATGCTCGAATTATGCTTCTGTAAAAATCGATATTCCTGGGTTCAAAATACTCAAACATGATAAATAAGACATTATATCGCCCTTCCAGGGTGAGGCTAACCCAACATATGCGCATTTATTATTTAATCCTTAAAACTAACATGGGTTATAACTTGTAAAAAGAGTCTGGGACAACCATGAACCATCGTCAGTGACTTCTACCGGTTGCGGGTTTGGTTCCGCCATCTTGTTTTGCTCGGATGCTCGTGCCCAGCTCCCTCTCAGACTCGTTCCCAGGCCCCAGAATATGCAAAATAGCCAAAAATGGCCTATTCTGCTCGGATTATGCTCCAATCATATATTCTGCTCCTGAGGCCCTATTATGCTCGAAATTCTGCCGGCAGAATGTGTAAAGGCTTACTGACTATCCGCGGACCCGAACTACGTCGACGGCGACGGCAACTAGGGAACTTAAGATAGAGACGCGGCAACGGCAATGTCGGAAAAACCAATAGGTTTGATAAGCAATCAGGGGCACATCCAAAGACTGTTTCCTGCAAAATATCTGTTTGGAGAAGCAAAAATTGCCTAGATTTTTCTATAGCTTGAGGAAGGCTAAAAATGTCCAGATGACCGTTCCATTCATGTACAATTTTCGAAGCTAAGCGAATAAATTCCCTACGATTTTCTGAAGTTTAATTTTTCACATTTTGATCCCTAGGTTTAGCTATTTTTCGTAGTTAAAAGGAAACTTAAAATTTTCGGATTAAAAAATGCTATGGAGAGAGGAATTCGAAAAATTCTCACTTTCGTAAAACGTTAAATTGCATCTAAATTTTTCGGGAAAGTAGTACTGAAGCTCTAATAATTTCGAAAAGACTTAAGTTTTTGAGATAAATATTAGCGATAAAAAATCACGACGTTTCGACCTCTCCGAGGTCATTTTCAAGTGTATAAAAGTTCTCTAAATTAGCATAAATAAGTTAAAAACAAGTTATAATAGATAAAAATGTTTTTAACTTATTTATGCTAATTTAGAGAACTTTTATACACTTGAAAATGACCTCGGAGAGGTCGAAACGTCGTGATTTTTTATCGCTAATATTTATCTCAAAATCGATTTCTAAGAAACTACTTATTAAGACTTAAGTTGCCCTAGGATGACCGAACAGATACAAATTTTATAGCGCTGCTTAAAATGCACTTCCAGAGATCTAAAAGTACTCTGGATAGCCTAAAAAGTGTTTTCAATGTATTTAGGAGGAAACCGTCGTTGGCTGCCCCTGAGGAATGTCAAACGAAAGAACAATTTTGCACGTGCAGCACGGGTACGCTATCCAAGAATTCAACTCCAGGGATTCACCTACTCGGCTTTTAACATTTAAGCAAGTTGCATCAAACGTGACAAAGTTTTAAAAAACGCTAATTAATTTCAAAAGCGACGTTTTAACGGCTGTCGACGTCGCCGTCGATGATGCTAAAGCTCCCTGATTATACAGATTATAGCTTCGAACCGAGACATTGTTTTGGTTCGTCGCAGATCTTGGAAGTAGAACAGCGTGCACGTTACGGCCTCATCAATATTTTCCCTGTGGACTTTCCACTTTCCATCAACTCATAAGCTTTCCTTCCATCCGAAAGAGGAAACACTGTGAAGTCGCCAATCTTAACTTTGCCGTCCTTAATCCAGTCAAAGACTTCGGAACTTCGCCACTTCAAATCTTCGTCTGTGGCAATATGATGGGTCAAGTGTGGTCGGCATACGGAGAAGGATCCTTTTGCGAGGGTACTGATCTCCACCGGCCCAGCAGGTCCTGATATCAAGCCATAGGATACCATGATTCCTTGGACAGCCAAGCAATTGAAACCTGCAACATTTTTGTATCAGGCATGATAATTTGTGGGGATGAATCGAAAACGGTGATCCACTGTTCAGAAAACACTGGAGTAGCCTCCCACACAGGCGATTTTAGGGGAGTTCGTATTTCGTCTCTCCTTCGGTGGGGAGGGAAGAAATACGAACTCCCCTAAGATCGCCTGCGTGGGAGGCTAACACTGGAGCGGCCGGCGCGGATCTACGATAACTAATGACCGATTTCCCAAACCGAGCGCCGATAGCGCAAGCTTCCAGGGGAGTCCGGGGGCATGCTCTCCCGGGGAATTTTTTGGATTTTAACTCCCTAAAGTCCTCTTTCCTGGGTTTCGGAGTCATTCAGACAGGATATTGGCTAGATTTCAACTTGGAAAGTTCTTTTTACCATTAAAATATAGTTTATTAAGAAAAATCCGACCGATTTTCGTTAAACGGTGGAAACCGGTGTGGATCCGCGCCTGAACGGATACCGGGCTAGTCCCGACCTGAACAATGATCTTCCTATAGGGGAAACCCTTTGTCAACGCAGCAAGCCTTTCAAAACAATAGTATAACATTCATTAAGTGACGATTTACCCTTGAAACTCAGGATCCGGAGGAGTTAAGTTCTATTCATCTACGGTCCTTTTTTGACGCAATCTACACATGCTGTGCATGAAGTTCACCACAAATACACCACAGCAACGTCCACTTTACCCTCTAAACCTTTTTTTGAAGACCAGTTGGAGCATCTTCTTGTAATAATCGGGAGTAATCATACAAATTCTACAGTTCGCCTCTCATATGCCATACAAATGTACCTGGACCTTCTCTCTCGGTTTAGTCTATAACTTTCAGAAATTATATTATAAAACTGGTCGCACCTCGCACCGCGCGGGATGAATGGCATACCGCGCTCGTCTCGCGCACGCATTCGCTCGCCCCTAAAGAGAGAAAAAACCTGCTCTAGATGCTTTTACAAAATTTATTTTCTTAGACATTACAGGTTCCAGCTTGTGAGTACTTATCCCATACATGAACTTGATGAACTCAGAAAAAACTACTCATCCACTCCCTCTAATCTGTAAGGTACCTCATACGCGGAAGAGAAATCTACGAAAAATACGACTTTAGGCGTTTCTTGGTATTCTGATGAAATTAACGCATTTGAAGATGCATTAGAGGTACAGGCTTTAAAACCGAAAACAAATGGAGCAAAAAACAAAATCAAAAACATTTCATTAACCAGCCTTGAGAGTTCCAAAACTACGCCTCTAATACATCTTTCAAAGGAAACTGGTCGTTTCGATACAAACTCAAGCAGCGAAATTACACAAAAATTTCATTCACTTTAAGTATAGTTTGCGCGTGAACAAGAAAAACATTTTTGGTGAATATTCTTCGTTCTTTAAGCCCAGTACGTGGAACTACTTACACCTCGACTAAATAAACTTGTCTCGAAAAGATTTTGTACCGAAACGACCGGTAACCCTATCTGAGGCTATTGTGAGCTTCGGAGCAGGTTAAAAGTAGCGCAGGTAAAGTCTTAAGATGACTGTACAGATGAGAGAGGAGTTACTTAATACTGTACCTCGATGTAGAGTTGTTTTCCCAACGCCATCGTAAATCACATTTACTCCTTTTCCATCAGTTATCCTGTTGACCTCTTCCACAAAATCTTTTTGTGTGTAAAGGATGACCTCATCGGCCCCAGACTCCCTCGCCTTTGCTGCTTTAGCCTCTGTACTGGTTGTCCCAATCACAAAGGCTCCTGTAGAAATAAGCAGGCCAAATGCGAATTCGAATATATTGTTAAACCAAGAGTAAATGCAAAAGCCTGTCATACATGAAAATGATTTTTATTCCTATGCAACTGTTAAAACCTATTTCCACAAGAAAGGTTTTGCAATAATATTGGCCTAGGTTTTTAAATTGATAAGTGAGGGATTTTAGAACTCAGAAGTGGACCGTTGCATTACACAACCATTCACCAGTTTCACCACAAGTTGCTTCATTCAACCAGAGAGTTCCCTTATACCGTGTTTTACAGACATCCAAGAATTGCTTGCGCATTTTGATATGGAAATGATTTTTCCTTCTCATGCAAATAAAACTCATTTTCATAATAAGGTTGTGCACTTGGCCTCATTTTGAAAGAGAGGGTTTTTGGAACTCGGAAGTGGCAGGCCTTTTTTAAAGCTTTCTTTTCTTTCTCCCTATTCTTGCCGGTCCTTCTCCTGGTATTCTACTAGCTGAAAATGCTCAATTGTTATCTTGGCTTCTTTAAAAAGATGTACCAGTAATGAGGAGTAAGGCAACTTTTTCACTAAACTTCAATTGCAACAAACATGTTTTTATTTTCCATGCATCTTTTGTTAGGCATGTTTGACACAGTCAATCACATTAATGACCCTCACAAGTTCTGCATCTAGCAAAATTACCTTGAAATGACATAGGAACGTATTGCGTATGAGTGGGTTTGAGCTTTTTAGGCACTTTTATAAATTGAAAGAATATTTTTTAAGCAGAAAGTGTCATTTGGAATTTTCAAGTATTAATATAGGAGGATATGGCCATATTACACCATTATTTATTGCTATTATTATTATTATTACCAGCATTTTTGGCCATTTGGCACACCAGAGACCCAGTCCCCCCTGCAGCTGTGTGCACCAGGACCTTGTCTCCAGGCTTCACTCGTCCTGTTGAATGTACAAGGTAGTGTGCAGTCATTCCTTGTACTATAGCTGTAGCTGCCTGTTCAAAACTGATCCCAGGTGGAATTTTTACTAAGCTCGAAGCAGGAACTTTGGAGTAGTCTGCATGAGCTCCTGTTCAGGAAAAAAATAATAAGCAGATCATTATAAGCACTTCTTTTTCCTATTAAAAATTAGACAATTTTATGTACAGTACCACACCTGATCCAAAAAATGCATAGATGTACAAGTGTAAATACAAAACACTCACCGGATCCAATAACTACATATGCTACTCTTTCTCCAACAGCTACACCATCCACTTTATCACCAATCTTTTCCACTATTCCAGCAGCCTCTACTCCCATGGTGACAGGAAATGTAGATCCCAAACTCTCTAATGACAATTGCAACCCCTCTGTTATAATGATATCAAGGTCGTTCAGGCCACATATTTGATTTTTCACCAAAACCTAGAAAAAGGAAACAATACTGCTGTCAAATCACAGGTAACCCAGGCTCTGTGATAGCACCACAGTACAAATTTGTAGGAAATACCAAATAAAGGTCAATGAAACTTAGTCTGCTGTTAGTTATTGTTGTCCTTAATGCTCAAATGAATTTTCGTCATAATTTGCTCAAATTCACCCTCCACACAATATAATACACAAGGTAGGAGGCACAAGATGGCATCATGGTCGCCATGCTCCCTTTTCCACAAAATTTGAACTCCAACAGTAAATAAACATGCTAGGATCGTAGAAATAGGATAGCATACAACTATCCCCCGAAGGGGAGGTGAGTATAGTGGTGGATATATACCAAGACGTGAAGCATCAAGGTATATATCTAGCATTGTTCACTGACCCCGAGGGCAGGGCATGAAATTGTGCCTGATACAGTCGCTAGTGCGCCTAAGTTTACCATGCTGGCGACCAAGATTCAAAAGTTAGTCGCCACGCTGGTGACCAGAACTCTTCAGGTTCTGTACATCCTACTTTTACGTTAATTGGTGCGATTAAATAAAGCTTGAAGGTAGATGAATCGGTATGAACAACTCAGGTTTGTAGCAAAATTGTCACAAACTCTACAAAGTGAACATTTCAACGTCTGCCACCTTGGATTTTCCAGAAGTAACGTTGTATATATTTGTGGATTGAAATATCCCTTTTGCTAAAAAGGCATATTGCGGGCTCACAACATTCTGTACATTTCCGATTCCAACTGCTCTCACTCTTTAGCATTATTGTGGAGTGATATAATCAAAAAGGCCTGAAGTTGACACCCTTAAGTGTCCGGGCCAGATAAATGCATGGCCAAGCAAATGAGGCCTGGGCTCTGTACAAATCAAATCCATCCCAGGTGTCCTGGAAATATAACCTTTCCGGGGGGCCGTTACATAGTTTGCCCAAAGTTGAGCCTCTCCTGCTGGAAATACATTTGCTCAAGGGCTACTGTCCACTTGAGCCAACGCGAGTCGCCCAAGCAAAACCAGTGCACACGCCAAAACGAGAAAGAAAAAGAAACATATATGAAATGATGGCTGCATTTTATAATTTTTCAGCTCTTGGAAAACTCCACCTTTCAAAGCTTAATTGACCACGACAGCAGGGACAACAATAACAACAAACAACAATAGTATAGATTAGCAAAACATCAGCTTTGAACGTGCATCACACTTTATTTGATTGTTTCTTTAAAAAAAAGCGTGATGCACGTGCCAAGCTGATGTTTTGCTAATCTTATACTAACGTTGTTTGTTTGTTGTTCTTGTTACCACTGCCGTCATGGACCATAAAAGCTTCCTAAGGTTGAAAAAAAGGGAAACTTTGTAGTATTCCAATAGTTGAAAAATACAAAATTTAGCCATCAGCTGGTATATGTTTCGTTTTTCTTAATTTACTGGAACTGTACTGTGGCACTATCACAGAACCTGGGTAACCTGTGGTCAAATTCAAAGACGGGGTTTGATCTAAGTCAAAAATTGCTGAGTTTGTTCGGCTCTGTGGGCCGTATTCAGGGTTCTCATTAAATGCTAACCGACTACTTTCAGGTCTGGGCCATCTACTTTTGGGGGCAAATGGGTAAAGTGGGGGATCGGAGTGAAACCCTCAAATTGCCTACAGCTACACAGCCTACACTACTTGACTGCCAAGCTGCCTACTTTTACACCGTACCAGTACTTGTCTACTTTAAAACTTACTGAGAACGCTGCGTATTATGTCATATTTTGCCATGACAAGCTCCATTCTTGCTGTGAATTTATTTATTCAATTCATTTTTATGTTATGAATTATTTAAATAAGCTTAATACCTCGCCTTCCGCGGGGTCTGGTTTTGTGGTCTCTGAATACTTCAGTTTTGAAGAGTCGCCAAACTCCTCCACTACAAGAGCTTTCATTGACATACCTCTGCACACAACTTTGACGCTTCCTTTAAGATAAAAAGGGTTTCCTAAAGCAGCGCCTAGCAAGTTCACTCCCCTTTACACAGGACCCGCCTTAGCAAAATCCTCCACGTTTTTTTAAGCAAGGCTGTATTAGTCTCCAGTCTCTCTAGTACGGGGACGCTCGGATGTAGTCACAGGATCGTCACAGGAAGGCCAGTGGGAATTTATGGTTGGTTAAAACGTACTAAAGTGTGACGTCATAAAAATCATGAAATTTGTCAGGGTATTCTGAAAGAACAATGTCCAAGAGGCCTACTTGCCAAATATGAGCATTTCGGGGCAAATTGTCTCTGAGATCGTACTCCAGTTATGCTTAGAAAACTCCAAATAAACCCTTCTAAATTTTTTTGGGTCGACCCAAAAAAAATTATAAGGGTTTGTATGGAGTTTTCTGAGTATAACCGGCTAACATCTCGGAGACAATTTGCCCCGGGATGCTCATTTTTGGCAAGTAGGCCTCTTGGACATTGTTCTTTCAGAATCTCCTGACAAATTTTTTATGACGTCATCACTTGAAGTACTCTATTAAAGTATAAATTAAATATTGGTACCTGTTGGCGCGGTGTTTCTTTCTTGACCGTGTAATAGCAAGGCAATTTCCCTTACCACTAGTTAGCTCCAGAGTGGTTACGGCTCGAAAAACTATCAGCCCGTACTTCATCACATGGAAACAGGGAAAAAACAAACTTTTCAAAGCGCGACACTGAGATCCGAAGATAAAAATCCCCTATAATTAATTAATCTTTTTTTTTTATTTTCGGACCATGCCTAACTATGGTTATTTCCGTATTACAACTTAACGACGGTCTTAGTATCTTCCAACTGAGGCTCTTATTGTATGCCAATTTTTGTTTATGTACCTGAGTTACTTGGAAAAGAGGATCCGTTTATCAATGTTACCCGCGCTATCGTTGAAGTTTATTTTCAAACTCCTGGTCGAAACCTGAATCCAGATAGCGAAGCAAATACTCGTTACGTTCTTGTTTTAATATTTGTTCTTCAATGATTATTACATTTGATGAGAGAAGTTTTCAACTTACGCTGATCATGAGAATTAGGCTGAGAATTTCGAACTGACTTCATGCCGGGTAAACGGACATCAGATAAACTAACTCTTTCGATAATGACAGCCTTCGGGTAAAGGGTAAAAGGACATTCTTTTTTTTGCCAAAAACCAGCATTGGCACTTCTGAATTTCGGTATTGCTGGCCCGCCTATGAACAACTGACACGAACTCTGGAAGTACTCTCCCTAAATTTTCGGCTGTGATCGGACGTCGTTTCGCCCACGAGTCTTAAACTAAACAGCCTAGTACCATCTATAAAATATAGATTTAGGCAGAGCTAAAAGCGAAGCCTCGGTTTATATATTTAATTATATATAAGCAATTAACTCAAATATAATAAACTCGAAGCAAATAAAATAATCCTCCTCTTCAAGGGTGGTGGGGGTAGCTGGCTGATTATAATCCAAAGAAAAGAGTCTAAGTATGGCCTCCGTCATCAACATCGTGTTAGCGTACAACGTTTTGAAACTTATTATATGAAAAACTCTATTTCTTACAGAGGATCCACTGTTTGGAATCTTTTAGAACCATCCGCTGTCAGCGCCAGGGACTATGCCAAAGGGGCAAAAAAGTCTCACGCCCTCAGAAACTTGAACTTTAATGAAGAGTCACCGCAAATGGGTCGTCCCCAAATTGACAGGGATTTCGTCTTTTATTAATTCTATTCATATCTTTTATTGTACATATTTTACCTTTTATTGAATTCATTCAATTTTAATAATTTTTATTATTTTATTTTATTAACATTTACACGGCCCCATAAGCTATATTGGCTTTAAATCCTACCGTGTTTAAATAAAAGATGTTGTTGTTGTTGTTAGTATTAAGAAAAAACACCTGAAATCAAAACTCTTCCATCAAGCTAGAAGTGTTATGTTTACAGCACGATAACCTTTTTGGTAGCAGCCAATTTACAGGTTACAGGTTACAGGTTTTTGGTCAGCGGTGGGGAAACAAGATGGCCGCGATTTTCCTTCCTGCGACATTCTAACGTAATTTTCAACATTTTACTTAATTTTCTGTTGTGTAAGTCTGTCTAATTGTCATTTCTGTGTTAATTTGTCTGCAAATCATATAACTCTACTAATTTTGCCAATTATCTTGTACTTCGTAACTTCCATCCTACTTACCTTTTCGCTCTTCTTACGGTAATACGTGCTAGTTTATATGTGCATATCCGTGTGTTTGTGTTTATACAGTCTGATATGCTGCCATATTATACCCAGCACAATAAACTTATTTAAATTATCTTACTGAATCTGGCTTCTTGGTATTTTTAACTTATTAGTTATTTCAGGAAGTCAGTACCCCTTTTAGCTAATTGATTAATTTAACAACTGGTAAATAAGTATCTGCTTTAGGTGCAATAAATTGTTGTTGTCGTTGCAATTTCTAGAGTCAAAATGGAGCTTTGGCATTGACGACGGCGACGGCAGCGAAAACGTCACTTTTAAAATGAATTCGCGTTTCGTCAAACTTTGTCGCGTTTATGCCAATTAGCTGAAAATGTCAAATGTAGGCGAATTTTCCAGGAGTTGATTCCTTAAGGACCGCACTCAAGTTTAGAAAGAGAAAGAAAAATTCGTCGTCGCTTGTTTACGTCCTCCATAAAACGTGCAATCAGGCATTTTCACTTCAAAGTCATGCAGTCATGACAACGAAATGTACAAAAAAGGGTGATGCACGTGCAAAATTGTTGTTTTGATTAACAAACCTATTGCTTTATGTACGATCTAGTTGCCGTCGCCGTCGTCGTTGCTAAAGCTCCCTAATTAAATGGGAATCTTAAAAAAGACCTTAAAGGAAAATCTGGCCGACCTTTGTATTCATCATCAGTAATGTGTAAACAAGAGCCATAATAGCTCTTGGTGTGAATTTTTTAAAAAGCGTGACCAAGCTAAAAACCACGTCCTTAAAACTATATTTCAAAAAAGTTTTTTGCCGTCAGTCAAACAGACGAAATTTTAATGTCTTTTTTAACATTTGAAAAAACTCCATTGGCTGCCTCTAGGCGAACTGGCTAACGTTTCGCCAAGACAAACGCAAGCTACATGTCTGGGATTCCCCACCCCCACCCCTGCAGAGTCTACTTAGTGCCTCCCTGCCAGTCGCCGATGTCATAACCAAATTTTCTCGCATGGATAGGTTCCCATTCTCTTTGCTACGGGGCTCCGCCATGTGCGCCTCGCGCGCGCTGAGGCTCTGCTAAAATGCCTTTAAAATACATTTTTAGCAGGAGGAATGGACTCCTGATTTTGGCAAAAAGAAACAAGTTATTTCCTTATTTTATCAAGATCTGAGATTACTACTTAATCTCGTGCCCAGATCTCCCACGGCCAAGTGTAAAACAGAGTGAGATCTGGGTACGAGATTAATTACTACTGCACTAGCCGGCGAATACAGCCGCTTCTCTGTCATGGCTTCCGCACAACGTTTCGAGTTCTCATCTTTCGCGAATAGCCTTGGCGATGGGAAGCAACGAAGGGCGGCTGTATTCTCTGCCTATGAAATTATTGACTATACTGCCAACTAACTATAACTTTTTCGAAGCTTCTCTCATTACTGGTATCGAAATCTACATACTTCTTGCTTTATTTATTTTCTTTAAGCTCGTGACAGAGTTTGATTATAGGTTTTACGGTCGTTTCGCCGACGAGTCGTCTCGCTAACGTCCTGTTCGCCAACATCTTAAGTCGTTTCGCCCACGTATTAGGCCAGTTTGCAACTCCTACTGTGTAACTTGTGAATCAGTTTGTCCTTTTTGATAAATGAAACCTCTTCAGCAGAATTTTCGCACAGTACCATTTGGTTCTTACTGTCTTACAAAATAGATGGAATTATTCTTCAAAGAGGTCGGGCAATCGTGGGAAAGAATGAATGCGAACTTTACGGCTTCATCAATATTTTCCCTGTGGACTTTCCACTTTCCAACAACTCATAAGCTTTCCTTCCATCCGACAGAGGAAACACTGTGAAGTCGCCAAACTTAACTTTGCCCTCCTTAATCCAGTCAAAGACTTCGGAACTTCGCCACTTCAAATCTTCGTCTGTGGCAATATGATGAAACAAGGAGGGTCGGCATACGGAGAAGGATCCTTTTGCGAGGGTGCTGATCTCCACAGGCTCAGGAGTTCCCGATACCACGCCATAGGATGCCATGATTCCTTGGACAGCCAAGCAATTGAAACCTAAAACACGTACATATATATAACAAGTTTATAGTGACCCATATCCAATTTCTCCCAACAATCACACTGCTTGATCAAACAGACAGGTCATGAGAATTAATTAAATGATCAACAAAGATGAAATGTTGTGATGTTAGAACAAATTCTCTCAAGTGGTACTATAAGGAATGAATGAAGAACAGTGTGGAGAAGATGCACGTTGATGTTCGGGCTTAAAAGGTTAAAGGGGTTATGTCACGCTATTTGCTATATATCTTTTTGAAAAGCTAGAACTTTTTTCGCATCAGTTGAATTCAAAAAATAATGATTCAGCCTTGTTATCCAAGACTATATTTAGGCATTCAAACTGTTTCTTGTCGGCTGTTTTAAAGAATGGCAAGGATGGACATAGATTGAAATTTGAAAAAGCTGTGCTTGCAAAGTCAAAAAAGTTGTTATGGTTGGTGTTATGTGATGAAATTATTTGTTTGATGTCGCCTTCATAACTCTACAGGAGCATTTTGTGTATGGGGAAAGGCACTAGCAGTATTCACTAGCAGTTACTTCGGATCATTTTACGTTTCTGGGAAACTGCCCACCTACCCCTCCCCTAAACCAACATTAACACTTAGTTCTTACTTAGGGCAAAATGTTGGCTTAGCGGGGGGGGGGGGGGGGGGGGGGGGGGGGGTACAGTCGTTCGGGCATATTTTATCGTTCTCGCGTGCCTCCCCCTCACCCCGCCCACAACAAAAAAATAGCAGTGTTTGTTTTGTGAGGGGAAAAGGGTGGGGGGGGGGGGGGGGGGGGGGGGGGGTAGGAGGGCAATTTCAAAAAAACCGAAAATGACCCCTGACTTCCGCAAAGAATTGACCTAAAAAAGCAAAAGCCCCGTGGCCCGGGGGGGGGGGGTATTCCTGGGAATTCCTGGTGGGGGTATACATGTATGTATCCAAACCCTGACACTATTTCAGACCAAAATATGCATGTTATTATTGACACCCACTTTCCGACCTGGCCTCTAAAATCCATACCCGTTTTCAGACCTAGCTGGTAACAAATTATGCCATCATTACTTAGACTAGAACACCAACGAAAAAACATTTCTTTCCTTCTTATTCTTTTGGAATTAAAACGGCAAACACTTTCATACATTCTCGCAGTTTCCTCTAAACCCATACCCGATTCCAGACCAAAATGGGCAAAGTCGATACCCGTTTCAGTTCAGACCAAAACGGCGCAAAGAACCATACCCTTTGGAGCGGCTCATACCTATATGGCTTATATAAGGGAGTAAAAAAAATATGAAACGGCAAACTGATCCTTACGGCAAGGCGATGAAGAAGTAAACAAAAGAAGAAAACAAAAAAATATATATATTTAAACAAATTACCCAATATTTCGGTTTGAAGCAAAACCTTCTTCAGGGGCTAAAAGAAAAATGAAAATAACACTAAAAGTTCGTCATATATAACGGAGTACCCCCGGGCCTCGTGACATAACCCCTTTAACTTCATTTTTAAAAATTGTAATCAGAGTTATCCAGTGTTTTGGGCATCAGCCTCCCACTAGATGTAATTGGATATGAAATATCCTTTCTCAGCGACTGCTGCTTCCACGTTATTTTTTGCACTTCTCCTATGGGAGACCTCAACAAACCCAACAAACTTGTATGTAACTAAAAAAAAAATTCACCCTCTCCAATTTACTGTACACATATGCGCCTCATAATCGACTGGCTGTTTCCTTGTTATTGATATTTTGATACAATATTATGTCCAGGTTTGCACACAGCTGCAAAAATTTTTTGCAAGCACACGAAAAATCGCTAAAACTGCCAGGTTGGCGAATTTTCGCATTCATTGCGATTTTCCGCTCTTCTCTCTCTCATTTGCAAAATTTGCGCGAATTGGGAGAAATCAAGGGTGGGCGGTTTTTCACGATACTTGGGATTTTCGCATTTTTTTTTTGGTCATACTGAAGACTAATTCGAAATCCAGTTGCGGATTTTACCAAATTTACGCAGCTGAAATTGCGAAAAACCACCAGCCAGACAATTTTTCGCGGTACTTGCGATTTTTGCCATTCTTTTTCATGTTTAACTAATAATTATAAAGTCGAAAGCCAGTTGCAGACCAGTTTTTGTAGTTAGGTGTATAGCCGGTGACCTTGAATACTCCATATTTCCCACTGTAATTCAGCCATGGAAATTCCCACAATAGCGCTGATCATCTGGAGTATTCGGCCTATGTTAGTTCTTTGACTTTCACCTTTGCAAGAGTCTCCTACAGGCTTCTGGACAGAGTAGGACATCTACAGAAGGCTTTGGTGGAGAAAAAAGGAGGACATAAACCTAATTTACAGAAAAGAGACCACAAGTCTCGTCACTGAACTGCTCGAAACGTCCCGCTCCCCTGTTCTAAAATGAAAGTTGGTTTTACACTTGCGTGATTGAAACAACATTGGGATAGGGAAGTTGAAATACCCTGGGTGCAAGAGGGTTTTTTTCTCTTTGAGGGCGACGGAATATTGATCAGCAAAGCCATGAGAGCCAGTCACCAACCAGCTCTTCAGCACCTTGTTCTTTACGGTTCTCATCACTGGTGAGCGTGAACACGTCTGGCATCAAGGGTAGGTTATAGTTAAAAGAACTCAATGGAGCAAACTTTCATAAGGTGTTTTAAGATAGAACTACTGTTAATATACCTTTGTGGAGGGTTGTTTTCCCAATGCCATCATAAATAACATTTACTCCTTTTCCATCAGTTATCCTGTTCACTTCTTCCACAAAATCTTTTTGTGAGTAAAGGATGACCTCATCAGCCCCAGACTCCCTCGCCTTTGCTGCTTTGGCCTCTGTACTGGTTGTTCCAATCACAAAGGCTCCTGCAGAAATAATTACAGAACCAGGCACGGATTTCGTTGCATTATTTTACTTTTGCAGATCTCATAGCGTAGCTTATGCTTGAAATCTTTTTCTATTTACTGATACCACACTATAGATGCTTTCTTATCTATTATTTTCTATTCTTTGTTCATTTAACCAGCAGCAAAAATACAGCTTTCGGGTTTCAGGCACTCAGAAAAAGCAAAATTCCAAGGGGAGAGTAGACTCGACTTTAAAGTTTTGCTTTTCTTCCTCTCTCAAATGTTTTCCCTGGGTAATTACTAGGTCTCATGTCTTGAAGGAAAAGTGTTTTTTGTGAAAATAATACACAAAAGAATGTGTCTTTTGGAGAAAAGATGATCAAGTGTAATTTTTAAGCACAGATATGCCAAGTTGCACATTAAACTTTTAGTAAATAAAAATTATTTGAGGATTCATGATATATCACTAATTAACCATGAGTGAGGTCATTAAATGGAAATTTCAGACCGAGGCCTCGATGTATTGACTAAGCGATAGCAAGGTCAGTACATCAAGGCTGATGCGTTATTTTTCTTTCAGTTATTGAAAAGATAGTTATATTTGTTGGTAGTTTTTGTTGTTTTTGCCCTCACACTTGTAGCTTTTACTCACAACTCAAAAGAACCATTGAGCCAAGAAAATTGTCATGCCCTAATGCCTGATCATTACAAGAAAATCTTGCCTACTCCACAACCAATCAGAGTGCGCGCACTATTGTAGCCACAAAAAATAATTCACAGTTAATGGAAGAATTATGCCCTGAAAGGTAGATATGTCTGCTTCAAAAGCAAGTAAGCTTTTTAAAAGTTACAAAAAAGACTTTGAAGAAAATATGCCGTTGAGATTTCTGAGCATAATTTCCAGACTTCAATAACCCAAATAATTACCAGCATTCTTGGCAACTTGGCACACTAGAGACCCAGTCCCTCCTGCAGCCGCATGCACCAGGACCTTGTCTCCAGGCTTCACTCTCCCTGTTGTATGCACGAGATAGTGTGCAGTCATTCCTTGTATCATGGCAGTGGCTGCCTGTTCCAAAGTTATCTCAGGTGGAATTTTTACTATTCTTGAAGAAGGAACTTTAGAATAGTCCGCATGTGCTCCTGGTCAGGCAGAAAATATTAAAATAGCACTTCCCTTTTGTACAAAAATCATAAATTTATAAGCATAACTTAATTTAGGGAAATTAACTTCAAACACCACCATTAACTCAACATTTTACAGTTTCTAGTATGATGGCCTGTAATTATCTTGGTTAGTCTCCAGTATTTCATCAAATGGTCAAAACTAAGAATTTTTCTCCCACTAAAATCAACAACATGTATTGCCTTTTCTGACAGAAAAAGATAGGAAATTCTCATCTTTGTCAGAGTAATACATAACTCAAACACTTTTGATATTTCTTCACCGTACCCCTTAATAGGGGGTTGCTTGCTTATTTGACCAATATAAGGACATGCTGCCAGACAGAGCTTTGTTTACTGGCCTTAACTGGGTTTCAAGCCATAAATTGAATCCCAATAAATACACATGGGTTAAATACAGTCCCTCCATCTTCCGAGGATTTTCTCTTCTTAGGTTGAAAAATATTTCACTTGTTTGGTGCAGTCACTTGAGAGCCTTTGTTTTTTTCAACTCTTGAAGAGAAATGTTGTACACGATGGCCATGTTAAGTATCCTATCTGTACAATTTCCATGAAATGTACAAAGCTGTGTAAACATAAAACACTCACCAGATCCAATAACTACATATGCTACTCTTTCTCCAACAGCTACACCATCCACTTCATCACCAATCTCTTCCACTATTCCAGCAGCCTCTACTCCCACAGTGACAGGAAACTTAGATCCCAGTCTCTCTAGGGGAATTGCTCCCTTTCTTATAATGACATCTAGGTAGTTAAGGCCACATATCTGATTATTCACTAAAACCTAGAACAAATTAAACAGAAAAAATACAGTGAAAACAAGCGCCATGCAGATCAGAAACGGGAAAAGCCTGCTGGCAATTAATGCCTAGGATCATAAAATTAACAGGTTGTTATTTTCTACCTTGTTTAATGGGTGGTAGATCTTCATTTTCTAGGCCATTGTTTTCTAAAAACCCATCATTTAAGGTGATTCCTTAGTAGAACCAAACAAAGATCGTAGATGAAACATGGTACACTGGTGTAACAAGTCAAGAAGATGATAAAAAAGTAATAAAAAGAGGGCCGGGTCACCATGGTCGTTTTCACGTCACGATGCTGACAAATACGGCTGTTTAGGACCCTTTGGCAACAACCACACGCAGCGTTTTTCACGGCAGCCATTTTGTTATGCACAGTAAGAGATGTGCAGTGCAAAACCCGCCAATCACCCTAACACTAGCCTAAATGATCATGACACCTTTAAGGGGTGATTTTTGGCCCCAGTGAGATCTTTCCCTCTCAGTTTAGCGGTTTCCAAGTCCATGGTCCCATTTCGGTCTCATTTGACTAATGTCAACTCAAGGCACACACGAATGAGCAAGGAGAAAAAAGCTAAAAGTGCCATCATACCGCCTAGATTTAACACTGTAGGATTGTGTAATGAAACGACCAGGCAACCAGGACAGAGTGAAGTAAAAAGAGAACACACCATGTGCATTTTAAAATTTGCTTGCTTCTGCATCTGACTACTCCTAAACTGCCTCCTATTCTGTTTCCTATCACGCACTTAGACCTGTGAAAATGGCCAGTACCAACGCTGACGTTCCTTGCTTCGTCACGCAATCCTCCCAAATTTCGAGGGGAAGGAACATGTGACGAAGCCCAAAGAACGTCTGCATAAGCTAGTACTTTCGAGCCGCCAGCTTAATTGTCGCTGCATGTAAGCACAAGGCTAGACATGCTACTTTCGATCGATTTTCGCTGGGTATTAATTTTATGACATGATATACATTTATAAAGCTTTTATATGCTTACCTCGCCTTCCGCAGGGACTGGTTTTGTCGTCTCTGAATACTTCAGCTTCGAAGAGTCTCCAAACTCCTCCACTACTAGAGCTTTCATTGACATATTTCTGCACACAAATCTAACGCTTCCTTTTAGAGTGAATGGGTTTCGAAAAAACACAGCACCCAACAAGTTCACTCCTCTTTTGATAGTACCCATCTTGGCAACCGCTCCATGTTAGAGAAATTAGTTTCCAGCTCCCATATTACTTGCAGGGACGAGAGTTACTGTAGCCAAGTCGTCGCTGTTCCAATTCTAACACGGCTACTAAAAGTCGCAGATTTTTTCTTCAAACATTTCGTTGTTGAGGGAACCGAAAATCAAATGTAACACGTAAACATGTTAGAGGTGAGTCGTAATATATTCATTGACAGAGAAAGTTATTTGGTTGTATTTTCTTTTAGCCGGCTGGAGTTTGTAGATTGGATTGATCTGCTGAATCAAACATGCCTCGAAATGTGTTACAGACTTTGACAATTGTAGGTTTAGTAGCCGCTACAGTTTTTGTGGCCCATAATTTTGTGCGGTATATTTTGCGAGGTAAGTCTTTTCGTTTCCCCTTTTCGTGATTATTATGATTATTGCGTACAAAGCCACGTTTAAACTGGAACAGACAAACACGGTACGAGCGAACTGGCAGCTGAGCAGGGAGGAGGTGATAAGACATTTTTTTTTTCCATTTAGGCATTATTTAAGCTTACCGGCTAAACAAGATCAGCCCAGGTCGATTTTACTCTTCCATGAGCTGAAGTGTGTTAGAAATTTGTAGCCTAAGTATTAAGATTATGTGGCATAAAATTTGGGCCGAACAGTTTTCGCCTATCAACCTTCTTGAACTAGATAAGCTTTTATGAAAGATAAAAAAACATTATATAGTCGAAAATAGCTTCAGTGTCGTACTTGAAAAGTTACTGATTAGCTTTTTTCTTGAGTAGAGGCGATATATAATAAAGAAGCTTTAATGTAGGGTAAACAAAAGCTCAAAATTTTACAGATATTTTAATATCTGTAAAATTAATAAGTTAATTTAATGCAAGTTAAAATTTGCATTAAATTAACTTTAAAAGACCCTTTTTTGTAGTGTTGGGTAATATTACTAACTTTTTCTTGTTAGAAGCTGGAAAAATTTGCACCCAGCAATCACTTCCGGTTTGAGACAAACTCTTAAGCTTTGTTAACTGTCATAAAATGTGTGGTTACTGGAATTCTGGTATGGTTATTGAATATTTATGAAATAGCATTGAGTTTGCAGACTAGACAGTTATATTATAACAGCCATCATTTCCAGATCAAAGGGAGTCATGTAGTTGTTGGTTTTTGCTTTGTTAGTTAATGGAGGTTACTCTGAATGGACAGTGTTTACCGAGTGCACAAAAACATGTGGTACTGGCACAAGATTCCGCACACGAACATGTGACAACCCCTCTCCAAGATTTGGTGGGTTCGAGTGTGGTGGAGAAGATAGCCAGACATTTAAATGCAACATTCTTCCTTGCCCTGGTAAGTTAACATTCTTACCCTGCCCACCTAAAAAAATTAAAATACAAAAAGTGATTGTATGTTTTGAGGAAAATAGAGTTGGCTGGTAAAAGGTCTGGAGGCAAGAAGTGTTAAGAAAGGCTGTGTTTGGAAAAAAAGTAAGATGCAAGCTGTCCCAAATGTCTCGTTACTGCACTTATGAGAACAAAAAAATGACCTGACCATCATTCATTCAGTTATTCATTCTTATGCAGATGAATGCATGGAGCTATGAGCCAGTATTAGGTCAAAAAAACAAGTAAAAGATAATTTAAAAATTGAACCAAGTATAAAAGTGTATACTAACCTTGCCAAGGCCTTATAGTGTGCTTTTAAAGACCAGAGTGAGCTGTGGTGGTCTTTATTTCGACACCACCAGCTGTTATGATGACTTTCAAAGTTTAAGAGACTGGAGTGTAATAACATTATATTGGGGACTATAGAAAAAAAATTGACTATTCCAGTGTCCAATTCTCAAAATTTGCCTGTCCAGCTCCTAGCCTGGGCCATTGTCTACATTGGCAATGTATAAGATTTAGTTAAGAGATGACTTACCTGGGCCTTTGCCTATATATTGAGCAAGTGCAAGCATGAATCATTAGATGCCTGACAGAAATTAGTCAACAAGCCAACACAACCAGACAGGCTTCTGTTTTGAGCCTTGATTACAATGTATGATTGTGTACAAGGCAGGGTCACCATTCATCAATGTCACGCAAAATTTAAGAGATTACTGAAAAAGTTTATAACTATGCCCTAAAGTGATGATAACAATTATGTAATGTCACTGGTAGTGCACATGTAATACCTAACTACATGAACATACACAGTTGATGGTGGCTATAGTCCTTGGTCAGACTTTGGCGAATGTTCAGTGACTTGTGGTGAGGGTGTGCAGCAACGTGAGCGCAGATGTGACAGTCCTCAACCATTGTTTGGGGGCAAAAGTTGTGACAAGTTAGAACTGGGACCAAGCATTGAAACCAAGGCCTGTGTATTGGATAGTTGTCCTGGTGAGATTATCGTGCTTGTAATACTTTTGATCTTTAGAGGTGTAGGTGTTTTCATGCAGTTCTGAGGATTTAAGAAAAGATTTTTTTTCAAAGTGACAATGTTATTTATTGTAACGGTTGCAGTTAATGGTGGCTATGGCCAGTGGAGTGAGTTCAAAGATTGCTCAGTAACTTGCGGGGAAGGAGTGCAGCAAAGAGAGCGCAAATGTGACAATCCTGAACCTCAGTTTGGTGGTAAGACGTGCGCTGAGCAAGAACTGGGACCTGACGTGGAGACTCAAACTTGTCATAAGGACCCTTGCCCGAGTGAGTAGTACAGTCAAACCTGGATCAACCCCTTAACCCTTTAAGCCCCAATATCCACATACAAATTCTCCAAACTGATCTCTGTATATTTCCTTAAAGAATGTGTTGAGAATTTGATAAAAGATTAAAGCATTTACTCTTAGATGATCATTTTATTAACTTTCATAACCTAATCTCCTGACAATCTACGGATATTGTTAGGAGAAAATTGATGTTGGTCACCATTGGGACTTAAAGGGTTAATAAACCTAATAATTATTCACACTTCACAATTTTCCCTACACATTTCCCGTGATACTCATCAGAGGAATTTGTGTCACAATTAAGACCTTGAGAAAGACGTTTTTGCAGTTTGGCTTGTAAGAAGAATCTGAGTTCTCCCAACAGGAGTCAAACCAGTCCTTTGGTCTTCTAGTGTCTGGTCCAAATTTAATACTCTACCACTATGCTACAGTGGATTCATTGGAACTAAGGCCACTGAATTAGGGCCATGTGAATCGAGACCTTTTTCACTTGTCGGCCATTTCTTTATCTTTTTTTTTTTCATACAACCCTGTTTGATTGAGCAGTGTTACTGACAATAAGAAGAAAGTAAAAAACACAAGGGTCTGTAAGTGCCACATTCCTCCATATATTCTACTGTATTTAGCAGAAAACAAGTGTTAAGAAGACATGAGCAAGAGTTTCTTATCAAAATGTTTGAACAGATCCATGCGAATAAAAAAAAATTAGAAAGAGTACATTAAAAACACAGATCAGGCAGTCAAAAGCTTGATTTTTAAAAACATTTTCAGTTAGAGAACAGTTGTTAAAATTTAATGGCATCTTTTGAAAATGCATAACCCTGGAAGCAGTGATTTTGTTACCTCTGCGTCCTGTGTCCTTGATGCGTAAAAATCCCCAAAGATGCAAATGATTCATGGCATGCGTCCCATAAAACGCAAATATTGATCACTAGATCAGAAGATGCTTTTGTAGAATATCCTGTTCATGTGATTTCTGTGGCCATTATTGTGGTTGTTGTTTAACGATGCATATTTATTTTAGTCTTTTTTGTGCTTTAAATAGAACAACTATATTTTTTATTTTGGTAAACTGTACTACATGTAAAGACAGTGTGAAGAGTTTTGGAGTCTGTCTTCATATTAACTGTCTGGTTGCAGAAAGGCCCAAGCATTTTCAATTTAGGATTCATTGTTTTTTGAACTGGGACTCATTGGTTCTGCACTGGGACCCATGATTTTTCACAAGATGAGTTCCGGGACTCAACATAACTATTTGTAAGAAAATCACTGTGGAAGCATTGATTATTTCACAGTTGATGGAGGTTACTCAGAGTGGTCATCCTACAGTGAGTGTACAGTAACTTGTGGGGGAGGTACTCATGAGAGAACCAGAGAATGCACCAACCCTGCACCTGCTAATGGTGGGAGGGGCTGTGAAGGCCTGGGACCAGATAAGGAGACAGAAGAATGCCAAACCGAAGCTTGTCCTCCTGAACAAGATCAAGGGTAATTTATACACAATTGTTGGATGATGTTTTTGTGATAATTATCCAGAATAATCAAGGTTGTAGATTGCGAGCAGTCTCTTTATTTTTCTTTTGAGTCAAGGAAGTTAATAGCATGCGTGGGAGGCACCCCACCAGTCTCTCCTCCCTTTACCATTAATTTGAATAATTTCCCTTTTTCGCTCGTTGCGCCTGGCAATAGAGGAAAGAAGAATGACCACTCACAGTCTATCAAGGTTTATGTATTGTAAGTGTTATCACCCAAGACTATTAATACTTACCGTGTCCTTTATTTTTCGGGGTATCATAAAAACTGGATCTGTTTTATTATACATTGTTTTGAAGGAAATAATGTCATCATTGCACAACTGATTGCTCTTGGAATCATGCATTGTGCATGCAACCTACAGATTAGTCAGTTCAGTCTGCTACCAGATAACTAACTAATCTGTTGGTTAACGGGATTTCCAAAGTTAACTGCAGGTTATTGGCCAATGAGAATACAGATAGTGAGTACAATGTCTGTATAATATGTAATATGAAGGAATTTAGCAATTATCAGTGAAGGATTATGCAGGTCAGCTGAGGTGGATAACAGCATCCAAGATATATAGTATTGTTTTATTATTCATGTAAAATATTTCCAACATAGAAACATACTTACATGTACCTTGATCGATGGAAAGTTTCCACCTTTGTAAGATTTCCTTTTACCTTGTGGCAGTTTCAGCAGGTGTTCTTCACATAGCAGTTGTTATCCTATCCTTTGTATGTATTTAAGTACATGTTGGTGGTATTGTTGGGGTAAGTGTTGATGTGGGTAGTGTAAAAAATACAAGCCACTAGCAAGCTTTTCTAAACTATACAGTGACAAGTATATAATGTATTGATTCTGATAGTCCAACTGCCCGATAACACACGTCAATCATATGGACTCAAAAGAGCGTTTGTTTTATCTTTAAGTGTTCAATTTTTTGTGTGTGTGATTTCTACAACAGCAAACAGCAAAACAAAGAAGAGGAGGTCAAAGACACCAAGAGTGAAAACGAGGAAAGTAAAGAGAAAGAGGAGGATGAAAAGAACGAAGGAGATAAAGGAGAGACGGAAAAGAAGGAAGAAAGCAAAGAAGAGGATGAAAAGAAAGAAGATAAAGAAGACACTGATAAAAAGGAGGAAAACAAAGAAGAGGTTGAAAAGAAAGAGGAAAAAGAAGAAGGAAAAAAAAGAGAGTGACGAGAAAAAACAGAAAGAGGAAGGACAATGAGGACAAACAGTCAAAACAAATAAAGCAGTGATAAAGAAAGTGAAACCGTATTAATAAATTCGTCCTAACAGTAGATGTAAACACATAGGGATCCTTCGGAGTTGAGTAATAATTACTATAGAATATAAATGTACGGCAACGTTGTAGTTTTCTTTCAATCATATTACCCCTGAGTTTATAGTGTGATTTTAATCATCGTAATATAAACGGTGAAAAAGGTCTGAGGATTGAAAGCTCAACGGTCTGACTTGAGCTCATGGCCCTTGACTAAAAATACTAACAACTGAGGTTTTTAGAATTAACCCTTTCACTGCCAGAGTGTTTGATAGAGTTTTGTGAGGTAACTCCAACTTTTGACTTTGTGGACGAAATCCTACGATGTGACCATTCAAATGAAAGCTCTCTGCCTGTACTTCCACATGATGCTATTTGTTTGTCAAAATTTTAGAAAATGAAATTTGGTCGAAATTTGCCTTTGGCCACATTTGGCAGTGAAAGGGCTAAAGCAAAGGCAAAGAGCAAGGGCCAGTTCTTTGAAGACGTACGAGTCTTCTTGACAGAAACGAAATGAGTGTTTCAAGTATTTTTTGCTGGGGTATTTTGGTCATTGTGTTTTGTTTGGTAGGGGCTATTCACATGATGCATGAGTGAATTTCCTTCCAGAATGTAGTTCGTATTGCATTCACACGATCAC